ATAAGTTGTGCTACGGCTTGAGCCAGGTGTGCAACTGGATGCAGACGGATCACTCGATTTTTCTTAAGAACTGTAACATCAACCATGAAGGTTTAACAACGCAAAATGTAATGGGGAGTTCCTGTTTTAAAAGCACTGCAAATGAGCACATGGTGTCGTTATCTGCTGGGAACGCTCAGAAAATAAACCAAATTGTTGAGGAGGCAATAAGAAAGAAATGGCAGCTGGTCGTCATAATAGATTATTACACGTCAATACACTCGATTCATCGCCCAAAAACTGGAATACTATCTACACCTAAAAGTACATGTGTACTATTGTCATCAAAGTCTTTAAAAATGTCCAAGCAATACCTTTGGGTGCAGCTAATGCCTATCATAACCCTGTCGCACTTAATATAAGTTCCTGTGTGAAAACTGTTTCTAGCATTTCTACTATGCACCAATTAGCGTCCACTTACTCATCAAGCATGCCACCCTCGATTAAARATTCCTTTTTTAATCCAGAGTTAGAGAGGCACAGAGTAACCACACATCAGTACTGCGATCATGAATCAGTCAAGACAATGCGGCAAATGGATGATGTATTCATAGTCAACTTTTTCCCACTTACTTTTAAAAGCAAAGACGACTTTGATGCCGCCTTTGATGCTCTACTAAGCACTAAACTTTCTGACTACATGAAATTGTTCCTTACCCCTCAGCCTGGTGACTGGCCAGCTCAATTCGATAGTCAGTTCTATCAACTCCTAAAACGACACAAGGACATCATCAACATAATCAACCCACATCAAGAACAACTATATGCAAAACCTGTAGACACCCAAGAAAACGACACACAAATCCCAGAGATGGGCCAGCTAAGTGTCCAGCATCTCCAGAGAAATTATGTGTTCCACGATCTCATGATGTTGAACCAACAGCAGTGGCAGAGGGAAGGGAAAACATGATCCAATCACAAGTACATTATAAAAACATAACTGAATGGATTTTGCCTTTTTACCTATCTCAGTCAACAATGTTTGGATTTGCTATGGGTAGCAATGCATGTACAATCATTGCTGTCATTGGAGCTATGGAATTCCTTAATGGCATAGTTCCTTTCCCATCATCAACAACCATTCTTCACACCATAGCCAACTTTGCTGATTCGATGCATGAGGGAAACCTTATCTACAACTCTCTCAACCTCCCATTAAGTCAGCCAAACCTTACTGTTCAGGAAGCATTGCAGGCTAAAGGAGACCAGTTTGGCCTCAAAATCATTGAAGAAACTGGAATTTTCTCTACAGAATGGTTCAAAGCTAAGATTAATAGTATCTGCTCATCATCATGTGCAAATAACAAATGTGCAATAGTCATAATACCACCAGACAAATCCATGCTATTGTGCTTTAGTCATCAACTCAGACAAATTGCACTATTTGAAAGCCACCCTCATCGAGAAAATCAAGGAGGATTAATTGTAGTATCTAGTTATACGCATATTGACAGTTTTGTTTTGTTTTACAATATGTTTATAATAATAATATGTTTGTTCGTGCCTATCGCAGGATCCCTGAATTACAGGCACGGTCAGCATGGAGCCGTGCATACAATAATTAATTTACATTAAACAAGAAAATTTACATGAAACGAAATTTCGAAAGCGGTCTGTGTTAGTTTTCCTACATCGTAACATGGCATTTTTAGAGCACGTGTGCTCGTGACTGGGGAAGAGGAATTGATGGACCAAACATTACAGTATTAAACATGTATTAAAAGGAACACTTCAAAAGTGAATGTTATTGTTGAAATGAAGATGGAAAACCATCAAATGGCTTTGAACACATTATACATGCCAAAGATAAATTGGTGTTAAAATAAAACAATGCACACTATTAATCAGTATTGTGTTTAAATAGGATTATTGTTGTCAGGACTCATGAGTATAATTAAAAATTAGATCTCGAGGGTGAGGGGACTACGACCCTCGTAGTCCACAAGGCCGAGAGATCTAATTGTTTTAGTATTACCATACTAGTTGGGCAAAAAATAAATGAAATATATAAATAACTATATAAATGTTTTTATTGCTAAAAATACGCAAAAAGTTGTCGCTTTTTCCTAGTCGAGGACTATTGAAAATAGACCCCAAGTAGCGTAGCCATTCAGAACGAAGGATTTTCAATAGTCCACTAGTATGGTAATACATAAATTAATATACCTGCTAGCTGTTCCAGGCAAGACAGCACTTTTTATGTCAGAATATTGTAATTTTGACAGCCTTAGCCAATTTTTAAAGCACTTCAAACTTGACACGCCGGGCACAAACGCACGAAAATTGCTCACTTCGATCGTGTGATCCGCCATATTGGACGGGACTCTTTCTTAAGAGACTGGTAACTAAAGTAACGAGAGCCGAACGAGATTTCTCGTTCTCATCGTGAGTTAAGTCGATAAGCGATCAGAGTTTCGGAAGTAATCGAGCTTGGTATGACGTTTCATTCGATACCAAGTTTGCGAGGGTTTGTTTTGAAGAAGACCTTGTTTACTTGTCACAAACACAGAGTATTTTCTGCAAAATGTGAATTTTTCTAGAAAGGTCTATATTTGACCGTTGTTTTGTTTTTTCGAGCTTATCTGTTTTCAAGCAAATACATGTAAATCCTTGTAGTAGGATGTCCAAATGGCATCGCTATGTTTTTAAAATTTTGAGTTAGGGCTGCTTTCGCGCCATTTTTGGAAAAACAAAATTATGAAACGTCGCTTCAACGTTGGAGCTTTTCAAAAGAAGGCAGCTGTCCTGAAGAAGCAAAAGATCGAGCAGACAGCCAAGATGACGGAGCTAAACGGAGAGATTACCGGTATACAGAAGGATTTAGAGACGAAAAGGGCCGAGCTAACTGGGCTGAAGGCAGAGCTGAAGGCAAAAGAAGAGCAGTATCGTAGACTTGATACGAAGGTAAATACAAACATGTTAAATTTCTAACGGATTTAAAGAGCACAAACGGGCCATGTGACTTTGTTTACAATAAGTTAAGCTTATTATGCATTGAACTTAAAAGCAGTAAGCATTTAAAAGTGCCATTTTTTAAAACAAGCAGTGGTAATTATTTCTTGAATGGGCAATTGATAAGTATATTTTTCTCAGTTAGCCTTATTAGATCGAAAGGAATAATATTTTTTTCTCGTGGTTGTTCAGAAAGAATGATTTGATTACGCGYGCGTTTGAGATTTTGCATATTGATCCTAAAAAAACTATTGTTTATCTCTACAGCAATTGTTAGTGTTAGCAAGTTTTGATAAATATGCCATTTACCATACAACGGCTATAATTAACTGCATTTCGGTACACCAGGCTTCTTATTTCTATATCCATCTCACATAGATTTTAGTGCAATTGTACCAGGTTTGTATGTTTTGACATCGATTTATTTTATGCATACACCATTATACATGTTTACAAGTTTATGATTAAAACCATACACTTTGAATAGCCTCAGCTGAGCAATGGCTACATTAATAAGTTTATTTAATCAATCTTAAGGCAGTGGCAATTGTTTATCTTATAATAAATTAGAAGCTATTAGTGAGTTGAATCATCAAAACTTAGCATTAGGACAGCTTCTGCATGGAATTTTCTTGATTGATTAGATCTTACCTGTAGTTAATGTAACTATTATTTCTTGCAAAGGGCTATTCATTTTATTGGCATAATATATTTTGTATAACATCCATCTCACATAATGTGCAGTGTAGTATATGGTGGTGATCAAGGTATGTATGTTTTGACATCAATTTATGCATACACTATTCATACCATTGCATACAGGTTAATTCTATGGTAGCAGAGATAGAGAAGCTAAGTCAGATAGAGAAAGAATGTAGTTCAGAGCCATGTTTTAAGAAGAGAAGACTACTGTCAGCAAAGTCTAAACAGCTGAGACAGCGTAATCCAACTAAAATAGCAAATAATAAAATCACCTTACCTGTGTCAACACTGAATAGAAGGCGGAATGAGACTATGGAATGTGCGATTGATATTCATGGAGGAAGTGATGTATCTACTTTGCCTGGTCAGATTGGAATTCTAGACACTGCCYTAACAAAATGCAGCAAAGATGTTCTTTCTGAAGGGTTGTCTACAAATAAGAGAGTAATGAAATATATATTTCCAAGCATGCATAAAGAATCTCTAAAGAAGTATGAAAAATCCGAGGAAAATGTAGTAAGGAGTATAGCAGTTTATTATGAAGGTGGGGTAATGGGTAAAAAGAAATATCGTAAGATCTATAAAGATACTTCATATAAGACCAATACTGGTAGAAAAGGCAGGCGGAATGAGCGCATAGCTATTTCTGGTTTTGCAGTTGCTAGGCTTTTGCCATACCACAAACTTAKGCCCCGTATTAAGTCCATACCTATAGGTACACTTCASAGTGTTTATGATGACTTGTGCTATGATATGCCAGAAGATGACAAGGTCAGTGGTGTGTATCGAGATTTAAAAGATACTTTGCTAACACTTGCTCAGTTCTATCTTTCAGGGCATGGTAATCATGAACTGACATGGTTCAATGATGAACGCTATACTTTCTATTTCTCTCTAGGGGGTGATGCTGCACCGTTCGGTAAAGACGATACATCCTGTGCCTGGTTGGTGGGGATTCTCAACATTGGGAGGGGGATTTTGAGCAGCAATGAAAATTTGTTGCTGTTTGGAGCAAATTGCAGTGAAAG